GAAAAGTTTTTATATTTTTCTCTTCATGAAAGCAAGTATATACAAAATGCAAGAAAAATAAAGAATAAAATACATGAACAAAATGCAAAAAGAAAAATAAAGAAGGCAAAATGTAATAAAAGAATATGTACAATGCAAGAAATGAAAAATAAAAAGTAAGAAATAATGCAAGAACCAAGAAAAATGAAAATAAAAATAAAAATTCTTTTTTTTTTTAATTTTTTTTAGGACATAACAAGTATGTACGCACACACAATAAAATGCAAAGAAATAAAAGTACAATAAATGAAAATGCGATGAAATAAAAAATGCAAAATTTTATTATTATTATTATTATTTTATTATATTTTTTTTATGAAAGTATGTACAATGAAACAAAATGCAAGAAAAATAAAGAAATAAGAAGGAACATGAACATGTATGATACAAGAGATAAAAGACACAATGTATCATGTGGGTGCTAAGTTTAACGTCTCTACCAAGACGGAATACTACTTTGAATGATTGTTTTTTTTTTTTTGTTTTTTTTTTTATTTTTTATTTATTGTTTAATTTTTTAGACAAAACAAATATGTATACAAACAAAAATAAAAAGGCAAGTAAATAAAAATGCAAGAAGTAGAAATGTAAGGAAATAAAGAATGTAAAGAAATAATTTATTTTTATTTTATTATTATTATTATTATTTTAACCAAAAGAGAAAAGTAACTAAATAAAATAAAAGAAAATGACAAAAGTAAAAGAAAATGAAAATGAAAATAAAAAAATAGAAAGAAGAAAAAGTCAAAAAGTCAAAGGGGCAAAGCTGTGATCGATCTAAGAATGATCGATCGAACTTCGATCGATCCAAGGCCTGAAAACCTGCAGAAAGTTTCGAACGATACACAGAGAGATGATTTTCAGAGCTTCAAAATTTTTTCTAAGTATAGAACTGAGATCGATCGAAGGGATATCTGTATCGATCGAAGAGTGTTGGATCGATCGGAGAAAAAGTTTGAACGATACACAGAGACTTGAAATATGCAGAGAATCTTCGAACGAGGGAACAGAGAGATGAGAATATGCAGAGATGGTGTTCGATCAATCGAATGTATTTTGTGATCGATCGAACTGGCACTAAATGCCTAATTTTGAGATGAAAGTGCAGAAAATCCTATGCTAAGCCCCAATAATGGTAACAAGAATGGAGATTGAAAAATGAATGGAAGAATGTACACAAGAACGAAAAATAAAAAGAAATGAGGTAGGAATAGAGTTGAAAACTCTACGAATACTAGTGTTTAACGTCTCTAGCAAGACGTTGGGTCAACTCCTTAATCAAAAGAATCAAAAACTGGATATGAAACATCCTTATTGATCTTTTTTTGACTTTTCTCATTTAATGTCCCACTTATGACAATGAAATTATCCTCCAAAAGAATGACTTGAAAAGAAATGAAAGAGATGATATTGTTCCTTTCATCCACAGTCTTGAAAACAAAATCAATCATGGTTGGTCTTGCCTCGTTGTTGTGTTCTTGAAACACATTCAAAAGATCATTCATTTTGATAATTAGCGGGGCATTGTCTTTTAAAGACTCATTTGGAATATCAAGAAACACCTTCTCTTCATCCCTCTTCTCTTCCTCAAAAATAACCATCTCCCCACCTTCCAAGTTAGCTAAGGAGTCCATTAGAGAGTTCACTTCATTTTTTGAGTTTTCAAGGTCAAAACCACAATTTTTATACATTTCAAAAAGGCATGTCTCAAGAGGGTCATTGGAGATAATAGAAGGAAGGCCTTCTTTAACAAATTCCTCCTCATCCTCTCCTACCTCTATAGTGGTCAACATCTCCTCACTCTCTAAAATAGCAATGGTGGAGATAAAATCATAATCAAAACAAGGAAAGTCCTCATTAATCATATTATGCTCTATTAGATTAACCACCAACTAACTTGCCACTTCCTCCTCTATATAAGATAAAGTGCTAGGCATTAGCTCACTTGATACTTCTTCTTCACTCTCATCATCCTCATCTATATAAATTAAAGTTCTTGCCATTTTTTTATTTGCCTCTTCCTCCTCCTCTTGACGAGAAAAAGTACTTGCAATTTGCTCAACTTGAGCTTCTAACTTGACTAAAATTTGAGAATGTGAATTAATAAGTGGAGTTTGTAAAATATGCACATCAAGTAAAGCTAAAACTTTTTCTTCAAATCAGGGTGAATACCTAGAAGGTGGTGGAGTTGGTTCATCATAAAATGGTGGGGGAAGGTAATAGTCACAAGGAGGATAATGAGAATAGTCAAGTCCATAATTAGATGATGCATGTTGAAATGAATTGGACTCAACCTCATAAGGATCAAAATATAGTGGAGGGACATAAGGTGAGGGGAAGTAATTTTCCCCTAAACTTAGATCAAACAATGGCTCCATCCACATTCAAAATCCAAATGCAATAAATAATGGCCTCCACACGGGCCGATACTTGGACAAAAATTAAAGTAATGAAATTAGCCTCAACAAGGGCTATCACAAGGGTGTAAAGAAGTGAAACAATTAAACTACGAGATTTTCAAGAAATGCTCACAAAGGTCCTTAAGCATCTTCAAATTCCAATGCTAGCTTTAAGCGCCAATGATTGCTCTAAGATCCAATATTTGCCTTCCTTGTAGTCAAGTACCTAATTGACAAATAATAATGAGAACAAGAGAAAAGAATATACAATATAAAATAAAATAAAAATAGAAGCAATCAAATGAACACTATTGTCTAATATAATTCCAACAAAACTGTTAATCTCCGGCAACGGCGCCAAAATTTGATGAAGCAGCTTGTAAATAATATAGTGAATGTGCGGTTCAAGAAAAGCCTTTTAGGTCAAATTTAAATTTATAAAAATCATTACCACCACTACTACTAACGAAGCAATGAGTAGGGATCGTCCCAAAGGATTATACGTGTTGGAATTTAACTTTGACTCTAGTGGATCACAAGATTGCAAAGAAGAGATTGATTGTTCGATTACACTAAAATTTAATTAATTAAAATGCAATTAAAATAAACTAAGTTGAGTTAGGGATTTAAGAGATGAGAAATGAGGTCTTGGGGTCTATTGGAATTACCACCAAGCTTGTTCACCAAACCACACACTTTCAACTAATTTGGGGAAAACCTTCTTGTGAACAAATTACGACTACCAATTGCAATATTAAGCATGGACCATCAAATTCAATAATGTATTGTCTACCTAACCAACAAATAAACTAAGTGTAGAATAACCTATCAATTCTAAGCATGACCCATCAAATTAATCACAATTGTAGCACATATCAATCTAGAGAATCATGGAATTTGCAATAATAAGCCATGGAATATCAACTCAAGTATAGATTATCTACCTACCTACAAACATGAATTAAATTGGAGAACAACCCATCAAGTATAAGAATAATCCACAAATTAATAGACAAACCCATCTAATAAAACCCATGTCTAGCCATCACTAGATTCTCAATCAACCACACATAGACATGCAATTAATATAGAAAAACTAGTGTAGGAATTAATTCCCAAATAATCATACATAAGACAACATGTAATCACAAAGAGAATCAATAGGAAGAATTAAACCATTTGAATCATGTGAGACATAATTCCCAATTTAATCACACATAGACATGTAAATAAGCTAGAGAATTAATAGGAAGAATTAAACCATAGAAATCATAGAAATATATCAAGATTCATTAAATTCACAAGGCTAGAACATTAATCACATAATATTATTCCCCAAAAAGTATGAAAAAGATAGAGGTTTAGATTACAAACTTGGGGCTCATCGAAGCCCCAAGGAGAAGTCGAGCCAATCATAGAAGAGGTAGATGTGATCTTGGAACCCTCAAAGGCAAGCTCCAAATATGGCTCCATCTTCTTCTTCCTCTTCTTCTTCTTCTTCTTTGAAGCTCTAGAGATAAAGAGTATGTGGATCTAGAGATGTGTTCTTGAGATGTGCCTCCACTTCCCTCCTTTCTTTTAACCCTAATCTCTAGCTTTTTAGAGAAAGAAAATAAAATTACAATGTATAAAATTGAAGACAAAAAGATATATTACAAAATGGTTCAATTCCCTTTAAATACAAGGTCCTTTTCTTAGCCACTAAGTCAGAAATATAGCCCCAAAAATATATAATCCTGAAACTATGTGGTAGGTAGAATTCGGGCGCGTGGGAATAAGACAGCTCGCTGCCAGCACATTTTCGATTGATCAGACTTTTCTTTGATCGATCAGAGTTTGTTCAATCGATCAGACTTTTCTCAGATCATCAGAATTTTCAGATCTATCTCACTTTTCTCAGATCTATCTCACTTGGCAATTTTTCAGCATCAGCCTCCTTTTGCTCCAAATTAGCCTCCTTTTGCTCCAAATTCTCACAAAGACTTAGTTTGACTCCAAAAAGGCCTTAAGAAGATAACTTTATTGACCTAAAAAGGGAAATAACACAAAATTAGTCTAAAACGGGAAAATAAGATAGATAAAGGTCCTAGAACACTCAAGCTTAAGGGGTTTAATTGCGTACTTTTCAGCGCTCATCAGAGAACAAAGATAAGTTTTGTCCTCCATTACCAATCAGACAACCTCTTGAACAGAGGGATCAATCTAAACATTGTGCTTTTTATAGTGACTTTGGTCATCAGACTAATAAATGCAGGAACTTAAAGAGGCAAGTGCAGATGCTAATCGCAAGGGGAGACTTTGCAGGATATGTTCAAGGGCCAGCACAGGAGCAAAGCCGACCAGCTGAGCAAGTCAAGAGAAATCAAAAGCCGAATCACCATAACGCTCAGCCCGTTAGGATTATAAATGCAATTCATAGCCAACCTAAACAGACAGCAGAATCTAAAGAGTTGCTCCGAACGCGTCTCCGTCAAGCACAGATGAAGAGGAGGATAGGCAGTGTGAACGCTCTACACCAGCAGCGTGTATCAACATAGATAAAGTTCGACAAAAACGGATTTGATGCGAGTTCAGGTTCCTCATGAAGACCCTTTGGTTGTTAGCTTGATAGTCACCGAATGCCTGGTGCGAAGAGTGCTAATTGATCCAGGGAGCAGTGCGAATGTTATGCCAAGGGTCATTTTCGATCAACTAGAGATCAAGCCGGAGGCACTTAAATGTACTGGAAATCCGTTGTTGGGATTCAATGGAAAACGAGTTGAACCAATCAACACAGTAGAATTGCTTGTCCGAGCTACCGAGAAGGAACTTGTTGAAAGCTTTGTAGTAGTTGAAATCCATCCATCGTACAATCCGCTAATGGGAAGAGGGTGGACTCATAGGGTCCAAGGAGTCCCATCGACCCTGCACCAGGTAATGCGATGTTTGAGCCCAGAGGGTAGCAAGGTGATTGATATCTATGGGGATTAAGTTGTTGCCAAGGAATGATACTCGATAATTCTAAAAGCCGCAAGGAAGGGAAAAGCTCCCGTCCGCTCTGTTAGCCCAGCATAGCAATTACAGAAGCCTCCCCCCAGCACGAACGGGCAGGAGGAGCCCCCGATGTTGACCGAGGAACCTTTAATTGATGTCCAGATTGATCATTTGAGGCCAGACCGAACCACAAAAGTGGGCTCAGGGCTTGCAGAGGAAGAAAAGTGCCAGTTAGTTGATTTCCTCTCTCAGAATGTAGATGTGTTCGCTTGGAGCCATTTGAACATGCCAGGGATCGACCCCTCTGTCTCTTGTCATTCCCTTAATGTAGATCCGAGTGTTAAGCCTGTACGGCAGAAGCAAATGAGGTTCACCCCGGAGCGCAACCAGATCATTGCTGATGAAGTTAATAGATTGCTGGAAGCTGGGTTCATCAGAGAGGTTCAATATCCATCCTGGCTATCAAACGTGGTTGTAGTGCAAAAGAAGAATGGAAGTGAATAGTTTGCATTGACTTCACCAATCTGAATAAAGCCTGCCCGAAGGATAGCTTTCCACTTCCAAAGATTGATCAGATGGTGGATGTAACGATTAGATATGAACAACTGACCTTTCTGGATGCCTATTCAGGCTACAATCAAATCCCAATGGATCTTAACAATGAGGAAAAGACCTCTTTTGTCACTAAAAGAGGGATCTATTGTTATAAGGTCATGCCGTTCGGTCTGAAGAATGCCGGAGCTACGTACCAGAGATTGGTCAGCAAGATTTTCAACAATCAAATGGGCAAGACTATGGAGGCTTACATCGATGACATGGTAGTAAAGAGCAAACAGAAGGACCATCACTTGCAACATTTGCAAAAAGTGTTCGGAATACTGAAAAAATATGAAATAAGGTTGAATCCAACCAAGTGCTCGTTCAGCTTAGGATCTGGGCAATTTCTTGGCCACATAGTCAACAACAGAGGGATTTAAGTTAGCCCAACTCAAGCAGAAGTTCTACTAAAAAATGAAGAACCAAGTACTGTCAAGGAAGTGTAAGCTGTCACCGGACGCATAGCGGCACTGAGCAGATTCATCTCTAAGTTGTCAGACCGATGCAAGCCATTCTTTGATACAATAAGAAGTCACAGAAAGCAATCCTAGGGGGATGAGCAGAGGCAAGCATTGACCAGGTTGAAAGAATATAAGTGAAACCCACCAGTCCTGACTGCCCCAAAACCAGGAAAGAAGCTTTTCCTATACCTTGGGGTTTCAAACGTTGCAACTAGCGGCGTTCTGATACGATGTGAACAGGGTAAGCAGTTCCCAGCTTTCTATGTCAACAAAACACTGACCAAACCGGAACGAGGGTACTCAAAGGCCGAACGAATAATCTTATCTTTGGTAAATGCAAAGAGGAAACTCAGGCATTATTTCGAATCACATCCTATAGTCGTTCTGACCACATTTCCCATAAGTGTGATCCTGTATAAGCTAGATTTGTCCGAACAAATGACAAAGTGGGCAATAGAGCTGAGCTCCTTTGATGTAACGTATGAACCCCGAACAGCCATCAAAGGGCAAGCGGTGGCTGATTTCCTACTGAAATGTGATGCGGCAGAGCCAGAGGAAAATCCTAAAGACTATTCATGGAAGCTTTTCGTTAATGGTTCTTCTAATCAGATGGGGGCAGGAATTGGGGTCAAGTTACAAACACCAGAAGGCACCACGTTGAGCCAGGCGATTAAACTTGAGTTTAGGGAGACCAATAATGAAGTAGAATATGAAGCACTACTGGCTGGATTTAAGTTGGCCAAGGAGCTAAAGGTCAAAAGCTTAGCCGCTTTTAGTGATTCGTAGCTGGTCGTTCGGCAAGTGACTAAGGAGTATGGAACCAAAGATGAAACAATGGAGGCATACTGTTCAGCCGTTATGCAGGAGGCTGAGAGTTTTGATTAGATCAAGTTCATCTAATTACCGAGGGAGTGTAACGAGGACGCTGATCAGTTGGCATACAGTGCGTCGAGTTATGGGGAAACACTGACAAGGGTGATTCCAGTTAGTGTGTTGTGCTAGCCATCTATCCTTGAAGAGCCATCAAACTCGGATCCTTGGCAAGTGAATGTCATACCATATGAGCCGAGCTGGATAGATCCAATTATAACATACATACGAGATAGAGTTTTGCCCGAACAGAGGGATGAAACAAGGAAGGTCAGATCAAATGCTGCAAAGTATGCCATAGTACACAACCAGTTGTATAAAAGGTCTTTCTTGGGACCTTACTTGAAATGTGTTACCCCCACAAGAGCTCGGCAGATACTGTGAACCATCCACGAAGGAGTTTGTGGTAATCATTCAGGGGGGAGGTCTTTAATGCATAAAACGATGACCCAGGGATATTTTTGGCTGAACATGTCACGAGATATGGAGGAATTCTCAAGAAGGTGCGATAAGTGTCAAAGGTTCGGACCACTGATCCACCAACCACCAGAAGACTTGCACGTAATGGCCAAACCATGGCCTTTCGCGCAATAGGGGATGGATGTGATTGGACTGCTACTGACTACCAGATCATAGAATAAGTTTGTTCTAATTGCAATAAACTACTTTACCAAATGGGTGGAGGCAGAACCATATCCCAGCGTGACTCAGACACAAGTGAGGCGCTTCATTTGGAGTAATATCATCTGTCGATTTGGTGTGCCGAGGTCGATTGTTATAGACAATGGGACTAATCTTGATAGCAAGCAAGTGAGGGAGTTGTTGGAAGAATACAGAATCAACTAAAAGTTAGCAGCGGTCAGCCATCCACAGGCAAATGGTCAAGCTGAGATCACAAATAAAACGATCTTTGCTTGTATAAAGAAGAAGCTTGAAGAAGAAAAAGGGAAATGGTTGGATTAGCTCCCGAACGTCCTGTGGGCCTACAGAACAACTCCGAGATGACCGACCGGAGAGAGCCCATTCACCATGGCATATAGTACTGAGGCAGTAATACCGGTCGAGCACCTAGTTCCAACCATTCGAAGCCTAATATGGAATCAAGAGCAGAATGATCATATGTTGAAATTTAACCTCGTTCTGCTTGAAGATGAGAGGGATACAGCGGCAGTAAGGCTGGCATCATATCAGCAGACGCCTATGAACAGTCACAACAGAAAGGTGAGGCATAGGGACTTTGCACATGGTGATTTGGTTCTAAAAAGAAAGGTTGGAATTGTCAAGAAAATGGTGTCACCTTGGGAAGGACCATATAGAGTTGCAGAAGTCATAAGGAAGGGGGCATATATCATAGAGACCATGGCTGGAAGGCTAGTAAATAAGCCATGGAACGCCACATCTTTGAAAAGGTATTACCAATAGAAAATTCAGTATTGAGTTCCAGTCTGGGCAGTGTTTATTTCCAATTATGTGCTTTCAAATGTATAAAACCTCAAAAGATCTATAGAAAGTAAAGTAAATGGCAGCTGGTACAATGAGCCGAACATCAAACACTTGCTAAAAATAAAAAAAGCCAAGTGGCAAGTGGCATTCTGGCCGAACGCCAGGCACTTAAGCAAAGTAAGTGGCAGCTGGCATATGATACCCCTCGGATCCGAGACATGGGTTGATCAGGCCCAGGCCCAAACCCGAGGGATATCACAGTTGGTATCAGAGCACTTCAGGTTCAAGTGTCTCTAGGATTCTATCGTATAAGACTTTCGCATAGCGTTCTCTATTGTTTAGAGCTTAAGTTTAAGATTCATTGTATTCTTTACGGTTCGGTTTAATCGTGCTGATGTCTGTCTTTCTGTGCTGACAGAATGGCTAACGCAAGACCCAGACGGAACAATCGGTAATGAAGGGAAGCGGCCCGTAGGCAGTGTCAGGAGGATGAAGGTCAGTTTTATGAGGAGCAGGAGGAAGTTCAGCAGACTGGGGATCAGGGAGGAAATCTAGAGTTTCCTCCTCATCTTAATGACCTTATTGCTCGGGCTATAGAGGTAGGGGTAACAGCTGCACTTCGGAATCAACCTCAGTTACAGCCGGCACCACTACCAGCACCATTGGTTCAGACGGATTCTTGGGGAAAGGCTAGGAGCTCTTTCACAAAGGGGAGTCCACCTATGTTCTCAGGCTCAACCGATGCCAGAGCAGCTCACCAGTGGAAATAGGACATTGAGCATCATCTTCGTTTGGTTCAGTGCACGGAGGTCCAGAAACAGATGCTTGCTACTTTCAAGTTAGTTGGGGATGCACTACAGTGGTGGGAGTCAGTTACCACCCTAGAGGAGAGGATGACATTGACTAATGATGAGTTCAGTGCTCGCTTTGACGAGAAATATTTTCCCTATGCAGTCAGGGCAGCTATGAAGACCGAGTTTCTAAATCTGCAGCAGGGAAACATAACAGTGGCGGAGTATGAGCAGCAGTTCACACGCTTGTCTCTCTTTGCACCGGAGGAGGTGGATACAGAAGAGAAGAAGCGTAACAGTTTCGTCAAGGGACTGATGTGGTCTATCAAGAGAGCTATTATAGGTAGTCCAGCCTATACTACTTATGCTCAGGTGGTAGACGCCGCTCTATAACAGAATCAGTTGACTGTGGACATCAGACAGGCTCGTGGTGAGAAGCGAGGTGATAAAGACTCTACTAATCAGTCAGCTGAAAAGGGGAACGGCAATGGTCACCGGCAGAATGACAAAGGCAAGTTCCAAGGACAACAGTCTTGGAAGAAGCACAAGGGTGGTTCAGATGCTCACCGGAATAGGGCACCTATTCAGAGGCAACAGAATGGGGGACCACAGGCAGGACAGGGTCAGCCACAGGCTAACCGACAGAGGAGGCCATTTGGTACTTTCTAGGGTAGTTGTTACACTTGTGGAGAGTATGGTCATACCACCAGGCAGTGTCCTAAAGCAGGACAGGAACAAGGACAGTATGTGCAGCAGGGACAGAGGGCGTCAGTGCCTCTACCAGCTCCACAGGTTCCACGAATTCAGGGACAGACACATCTGGCTTTACCGGCAC